TNNNNTCTTCTTTCAACATCTGGAGATCGCTCTCAAGGTCTATTCACGAAGCCTCTACCATCTAGTCATTAAGCGCCCGTTTCTGAGCTCAAAGTTGGAATACAGACATCTGGGAAATGCCTCAGGTATGTCCACTTTTGTCAATATATCTCTTCTGAATGTTCATCAAATATCCAGCCGCCTTTCTTCAAAGATTCAGGCCCGCAGCGAGCAGCACCCCTGCTCCCCCTCAAGAACAAGCTTGGGTGGTTCATCGTTCATTCTCGGGTATGTCTGCATCTCTGGCCTCCATCAACCTGCTCACATTGTGCTCTAGCTTATATCTCATTCAATTGTCAAGAAACAATGCTTTCAGCTCACTCGCCTCGACCTCAAACCTCTCATCAACTTTTTATTTGATTTATGGACCTCTGGGGATTGCCCTCAAGGTCCAAGAGCTCTGTACCACCCGTTTGCCAACCTCACTGCTCAAACTTCATATTTGGACGTCCGGGAAACACTGTGAGTATGCTTCTTCTTTCTTTGATCTTCTATTGAGTTCTCATGATGTTTTAGGTACCCAATTTCGAGGGTTTGGCCCCATGCAGCGAGCAAAATCTACAGTCTCAATCAGGGATGTTTGTGGTTGGGCAATGATGTTGGTTGGCTGGTCGTTTATTATTTGGTATGTCTGCTTCTCTGATGTCCATCATCCGCTGATTTCTCACTTAATCATCAAGGCGTGAAGCGTTTGGGTGACTCGCCTCGACCTTGAACCTTTCCTCAACATTTTATTTGATATCTCAACTTCTGGTGATCACTCTGAGGCTCCAGTTACCATGTGTTGCCTACGGACAGACCCTCCAAGCTGAAAATTCGAATTTGGATGTCCGGGGAACACTGTAAATGTGTGTACTTTTTCCTTGATTCTCTGTCGAACTCTGATCAAAGTTTCAGGGCCCAGCTTTGAGGATTTGGCCCCCACGGCAAGCAGAACACATGCCCCCTCTATCAAGAACATACTATGTGGCTTGGAAGTTCAGGTGAGTATTCTGTGCATATCCATTATGTTTCCTTGCTCATTTGCCTGATTTGAACT